GTGGGCCCCATCGAAAAATGTTACTTGGGTTTTTTGTTTGGGAAATTACGCTCTTTCCAATGATGTGCATATTGCCGGGGTTGGTCGCGAAATTAGGGGCAATACTTAGAAAGGGCCTCTTTGGGGCCCTCTTTGGGCCCCTTCCTTTGGATTCCCCGGTGGGTTTCTTCAGCCAGATTGAAGAGGGGGCCCAGGAGAGTGTCTGTGCAAATTTTGAAGAAAATCGTAGGGGCCGCCCCATTGGGCCCCAAATTTCAATTGGGTCCCGTGGGCCCCAGGTGGGCCCCATCGAAAAATGTTACTTGGGTTTTTTGTTTGGGAAATTACGCTCTTTCCAATGATGTGCATATTGCCGGGGTTGGTCGCGAAATTAGGGGCAATACTTAGAAAGGGCCTCTTTGGGGCCCTCTTTGGGCCCCTTCCTTTGGATTCCCCGGTAGGTTTCTTCAGCCAGATTGAAGAGGGGGCCCAGGAGAGTGTCTGTGCAAATTTTGAAGGAAATCGTAGGGGCCGCCCCATTGGGCCCCAAATTTCAATTGGGTCCCGTGGGCCCCAGGTGGGCCCCATCGAAAAATGTTACTTGGGTTTTTTGTTTGGGAAATTACGCTCTTTCCAATGATGTGCGTATTGCCGGGGTTGGTCGCGAAATTAGGGGCAATACTTAGAAAGGGCCTCTTTGGGGCCCTCTTTGGGCCCCTTCCTTTGGATTCCCCGGTAGGTTTCTTCAGCCAGATTGAAGAGGGGGCCCAGGAGAGTGTCTGTGCAATTTTTGAAGAAAATCGTAGGGGCCGCCCTATTGGGCCCCAAATTTCAATTGGGTCCCGTGGGCCCCAGGTGGGCCCCATCGAAAAATGTTACTTGGGTTTTTTGTTTGGGAAATTACGCTCTTTCCAATGATGTGCATATTGCCGGGGTTGGTCGCGAAATTAGGGGCAATACTTAGAAAGGGCCTTTTGGGGCCCTCTTTGGGCCCCTTCCTTTGGATTCCCCGGTGGGTTTCTTCAGCCAGATTGAAGAGGGGGCCCAGGAGAGTGTCTGTGCAAATTTTGAAGAAAATCGTAGGGGCCGCCCCATTGGGCCCCAAATTTCAATTGGGTCCCGTGGGCCCCAGGTGGGCCCCATCGAAAAATGTTACTTGGGTTTTTTGTTTGGGAAATTACGCTCTTTCCAATGATGTGCATATTGCCGGGGTTGGTCGCGAAATTAGGGGCAATACTTAGAAAGGGCCTCTTTGGGGCCCTCTTTGGGCCCCTTCCTTTGGATTCCCCGGTAGGTTTCTTCAGCCAGATTGAAGAGGGGGCCCAGGAGAGTGTCTGTGCAAATTTTGAAGGAAATCGTAGGGGCCGCCCCATTGGGCCCCAAATTTCAATTGGGTCCCGTGGGCCCCAGGTGGGCCCCATCGAAAAATGTTACTTGGGTTTTTTGTTTGGGAAATTACGCTCTTTCCAATGATGTGCGTATTGCCGGGGTTGGTCGCGAAATTAGGGGCAATACTTAGAAAGGGCCTCTTTGGGGCCCTCTTTGGGCCCCTTCCTTTGGATTCCCCGGTAGGTTTCTTCAGCCAGATTGAAGAGGGGGCCCAGGAGAGTGTCTGTGCAATTTTTGAAGAAAATCGTAGGGGCCGCCCTATTGGGCCCCAAATTTCAATTGGGTCCCGTGGGCCCCAGGTGGGCCCCATCGAAAAATGTTACTTGGGTTTTTTGTTTGGGAAATTACGCTCTTTCCAATGATGTGCATATTGCCGGGGTTGGTCGCGAAATTAGGGGCAATACTTAGAAAGGGCCTCTTTGGGGCCCTCTTTGGGCCCCTTCCTTTGGATTCCCCGGTGGGTTTCTTCAGCCAGATTGAAGAGGGGGCCCAGGAGAGTGTCTGTGCAAATTTTGAAGAAAATCGTAGGGGCCGCCCCATTGGGCCCCAAATTTCAATTGGGTCCCGTGGGCCCCAGGTGGGCCCCATCGAAAAATGTTACTTGGGTTTTTTGTTTGGGAAATTACGCTCTTTCCAATGATGTGCATATTGCCGGGGTTGGTCGCGAAATTAGGGGCAATACTTAGAAAGGGCCTATTTGGGGCCCTCTTTGGACCCCTTCCTTTGGATTCCCCGGTAGGTTTCTTCAGCCAGATTGAAGAGGGGGCCCAGGAGAGTGTCTGTGCAAATTTTGAAGAAAATCGTAGGGGCCGCCCCATTGGGCCCCAAATTTCAATTGGGTCCCGTGGGCCCCAGGTGGGCCCCATCGAAAAATGTTACTTAGGTTTTTTGTTTGGGAAATTGCGCTCTTTCCAATGATGTGCATATTGCCGGGGTTGGTCGCGAAATAAGGGGCAATACTTAGAAAGGGCCTCTTTGGGGCCCTCTTTGGGCCCCTTCCTTTGGATTCCCCGGTGGGTTTCTTCAGCCAGATTGAAGAGGGGGCCCAGGAGAGTGTCTGTGCAAATTTTGAAGAAAATCGTAGGTACCGCCCCATTGGGCCCCAAATTTCAATTGGGTCCCGTGGGCCCCAGGTGGGCCCCATCGAAAAATGTTACTTGGGTTTTTTGTTTGGGAAATTACGCTCTTTCCAATGATGTGCATATTGCCGGGGTTGGTCGCGAAATTAGGGGCAATACTTAGAAAGGGCCTCTTTGGGGCCCTCTTTGGGCCCCTTCCTTTGGATTCCCCGGTGGGTTTCTTCAGCCAGATTGAAGAGGGGGCCCAGGAGAGTGTCTGTGCAAATTTTGAAGAAAATCGTAGGGGCCGCCCCATTGGGCCCCAAATTTCAATTGGGTCCCGTGGGCCCCAGGTGGGCCCCATCGAAAAATGTTACTTGGGTTTTTTGTTTGGGAAATTACGCTCTTTCCAATGATGTGCATATTGCCGGGGTTGGTCGCGAAATTAGGGGCAATACTTAGAAAGGGCCTCTTTGGGGCCCTCTTTGGGCCCCTTCCTTTGGATTCCCCGGTAGGTTTCTTCAGCCAGATTGAAGAGGGGGCCCAGGAGAGTGTCTGTGCAAATTTTGAAGGAAATCGTAGGGGCCGCCCCATTGGGCCCCAAATTTCAATTGGGTCCCGTGGGCCCCAGGTGGGCCCCATCGAAAAATGTTACTTAGGTTTTTTGTTTGGGAAATTACGCTCTTTCCAATGATGTGCGTATTGCCGGGGTTGGTCGCGAAATTAGGGGCAATACTTAGAAAGGGCCTCTTTGGGGCCCTCTTTGGGCCCCTTCCTTTGGATTCCCCGGTAGGTTTCTTCAGCCAGATTGAAGAGGGGGCCCAAGAGAGTGTCTGTGCAAATTTTGAAGAAAATCGTAGGGGCCGCCCCATTGGGCCCCAAATTTCAATTGGGTCCCGTGGGCCCCAGGTGGGCCCCATCGAAAAATGTTACTTAGGTTTTTTGTTTGGGAAATTGCGCTCTTTCCAATGATGTGCATATTGCCGGGGTTGGTCGCGAAATTAGGAGCAATACTTAGAAAGGGCCTCTTTGGGGCCCTTTTTGGGCCCCTTCCTTTGGATTCCCCGGTAGGTTTCTTCAGCCAGATTGAAGAGGGGGCCCAGGAGAGTGTCTGTGCAAATTTTGAAGAAAATCGTAGGGGCCGCCCCATTGGGCCCCAAATTTCAATTGGATCCCGTGGGCCCCAGGTGGGCCCCATCGAAAAATGTTACTTGGGTTTTTTGTTTGGGAAATTACGCTCTTTCCAATGATGTGCGTATTGCCGGGGTTGGTCGCGAAATTAGGGGCAATACTTAGAAAGGGCCTCTTTGGGGCCCTCTTTGGGCCCCTTCCTTTGGATTCCCCGGTGGGTTTCTTCAGCCAGATTGAAGAGGGGGCCCAGGAGAGTGTCTGTGCAAATTTTGAAGAAAATCGTAGGGGCCGCCCCATTGGGCCCCAAATTTCAATTGGGTCCCGTGGGCCCCAGGTGGGCCCCATCGAAAAATGTTACTTGGGTTTTTTGTTTGGGAAATTACGCTCTTTCCAATGATGTGCATATTGCCGGGGTTGGTCGCGAAATTAGGGGCAATACTTAGAAAGGGCCTCTTTGGGGCCCTCTTTGGGCCCCTTCCTTTGGATTCCCCGGTAGGTTTCTTCAGCCAGATTGAAGAGGGGGCCCAGGAGAGTGTCTGTGCAAATTTTGAAGGAAATCGTAGGGGCCGCCCCATTGGGCCCCAAATTTCAATTGGGTCCCGTGGGCCCCAGGTGGGCCCCATCGAAAAATGTTACTTAGGTTTTTTGTTTGGGAAATTACGCTCTTTCCAATGATGTGCGTATTGCCGGGGTTGGTCGCGAAATTAGGGGCAATACTTAGAAAGGGCCTCTTTGGGGCCCTCTTTGGGCCCCTTCCTTTGGATTCCCCGGTAGGTTTCTTCAGCCAGATTGAAGAGGGGGCCCAGGAGAGTGTCTGTGCAAATTTTGAAGAAAATCGTAGGGGCCGCCCCATTGGGCCCCAAATTTCAATTGGGTCCCGTGGGCCCCAGGTGGGCCCCATCGAAAAATGTTACTTAGGTTTTTTGTTTGGGAAATTGCGCTCTTTCCAATGATGTGCATATTGCTGGATTTTGTCGATGTTATAGGCCTGAAATTGTTAAAAACGTTTATTTATGCCCCGAGGGCATACTCACGGGCCCATATATTTGAAGCTGTTTTTTTTCGGTTCAGGGGGGCGCTAGCCCCCTAAATTTGGTACCGTTGCACGTAAAATTTTGTCCTCTTTCGAATGACGTGCATTTTTAGCTGTTTTGACGGCTAGAAGTAGGGTTTTCAAAGTTCGTCGATTGTGCCCTGAGGGCATACTGTTTTTTGGGATTTGTGGCCCCCCTGATGGATTCCCCGCGTTTTGGCACTAGGATTTTCGATAGAGGACACCATTCTGCACCTCTCCACCAAAATTCAGCGAAATCGTAGGGGCCGTCGATCCCTGCTGAATCCCTGCTGAACCCCTGCTGAATCCCTGCTAACTTCCGTTACATCATTTGACCTTGACTCGGCACCAAAATTTGATGACAAATACTGCGCGGTTGATACATTTGATGGCGTCAACAAACTGCCTGCTCCAAATCTTATACAATTTTAAGCTTGTATCAGATTTGCAATCTTTTCTCTTGTATTTGCTGTGACCTGCCATAATATTTTATTGCAGATTGCAGAGCTCTTACTCTGATTCAGTTTTGTGTTAGCAAGCAGCATGCCAGGGTGTTTTGCATCTGGGTGCAGCCACCACAACAGCGCTGCAAGATGTACATTTAGGTTTCCAAGAGATGGAGAGGAGAAGATGAGGGTCGCTTAGGTGAGGGCTGTCAGGTAAGATCCAGATGTGTCCTTGTTAGCTGTAATGATGAATGCAATACATTATGTAGTAATGATAAATGTAATAAATGTTATGTAATGACGAGCACAAACCAGGAGCTTTTACAGCCCAATGATCACCATAGGCAAAGATTCCATTTCTCGTCCTGAAAAGTGCCTTCTTGAGGAATATGTGCTTTGCTGAGGAATGCAGCCATGTCATCGTCAGCTAATCAGCATGCTGCTAACAGCCAATGGGTTTGAATTTTACAACATGATTAATCAATGCAAGCTTCCGCGTCAAACAATATTTTCTATAGAATATTGGTTAGTTGTAAAGCAGGCGTCACACTACTTTTTGCAATGAAGGAGAGGTGCTATACCCAGAGATGCTTTCTAATTGAACCAAGCCAAAACAAACCTAACTAAACCTGACCTAGCCATAACTACAACCTAAACTCTACAACCTAGGTACAACTTTTTGTTGCTTTTGTTGCTTTTTGTTGTTAAAACTTTTTGTACAACTTAGAACCTACAACCTAACCTACAGCACCTCTCCTTGGTTGCAAAAAGAAGTGTGACGCCTGCTTTACTACTACCAAATATAGTTCTTTTATTAAAATACAGAAAATATTGTTTATAAAGGTTTTATTTTTGTGCTGATCATAATTAGCATAACAAATCAAATCCATTGCATAAAACTAATTACAGGAAAGAGAACATGAAATCCATTAAAAGCTTATCATATTTATCACAAGTTACCTAATGCAGGTAATGCTTTGACCTGGTATTCCGTTGAGTGTAATGCCGCAGGCAGCTCTAAGGGATGTGTTGGAATGGGTAAGGAAAATATTTTTGGTTGAAGAGGTGTGTTATAGGCTACAGGCCAAATGCATACCTCTTTAACAAAAAGAAAAGAAAAGATGTAGGTACTCTTACCTAGCATATATTCCAGTTACTATGTACAAAAAAGACGTGCTACGAATGTTGCTAGCGAACCACTGTAGGTTGGGTTAGTTAAGGTTTGACCATGTTCTGAAGCATTGTAAATAATCATAATTGTTCACTCTTAGCACCTCACATTGATATAAAGCCAATTAGCTACATTTTGATTGCTAGGTGAGGATGTCAACCTTCTGATTCTGGATTCTGGAGCCAAAATAACATGATACAGTGTCAGTGATACCATCTTGTTTAGAAGCTGTGGCTGTGCTGTCTGAGTCAATATCTTACCTCTAAACACAAGGCATTTTGTATGTAAAAGTCCACGTGCAAGAACAGTATGCCAGTTGTTACATTTGTTGCATCTGTCATTTACAGACGTGCAGATGCAGTTCCCAGGAGCACTTCCCAGCTCTGTTCCTGTCATTTTGAGGAGGGCAGCTGCATCCCAACACTCTTCCAGTACAACGGGTACCAGATTGCTCATTTCCGGTAAGCACTAGCCACTTAACTTCATTGTTTGAGTCCAACTCATATGCCAGGTTGCTTACCATACCAGTATATGCATAGTAATGATGCAAGTCTTGAGCCTACGGGCCCGGGCGGTGTTTCACGGGACGCTGCTACCACGCTGTTATCAAATTGCGCGAGCTGACTACTGACGTCACACTTGTGGTAGTGTTGGAGCAATGGGCCTGTTCATGTCTCCATGGAAACCCAATTTGACACGTGTAAAAGCATCGTGCTGCTATCACCGGTGAAACAGGGCCCCGGTGTCGGGCTTAAATTCGGACCCGCCGGACTTTTGCCGGGCCTAAGCTCGAGGAGGCCGGGCATATGCCGGGCTCGGCAAGGGCTTGCCTGTGTTAAAGGGACAATCCCACCTTCCAAAAAGTTAATAAATTGGCATAAAAGTGATGTACCATAAATCAGAAAGAGCGAAATTTTTAGGTTTACATTTTGCACGAAGCCACCAAAGCGATGCAGCAGGCTAGTCATATGTATTTCTTGTTGCACACTCATATGTTGGGCAAAATGTATTGATGACAAGTGGAAGAAGTGGAAAAACGGTTTTAGCCTTTATTTGTGTATTATGTGTATACCTGTCAGCGCAGTGTGGAAGTTGAAATTGTTGGTTTGGTAAATCTTCATAAAAAAAACATAATAGTTGTGGTTCAGTTCAAAGTTGATTCAAATTCACAAACTCAGTTTTTGTGATGTGGTTGCAGGTCGCCTGTGCTACACCAAGCTCAGAAAGGGAAAGCGGATCACACAGCCACCATCAGCGCGCTAGAACTCCAAGGAGGATCTGCGAGCGGCGCGCCAGGCGCCGTCGGAGCAGCCCCTGGTAGCGACAGCCGCCGCGCCGTCGGAGCAGTCCCTGGGAGCCACGGCCAGCCGCTGTCGGAGCAGCCTCTGGGAGCCGGCCGGCCGCCGTCGGAGAGGCCTCTGGGAGCTTACCTGTAACTGACTGCGGCTGACGTGTGTGTCCGTGTGCGCGCGTGTGTGTGTGCGTTTCCACTGGCAGTGATAGTGACAGGTGAACGGTGTTCATGACCGATGGCCGGCGGTCTTTGTTGTTATTCTGATAGTACGTATGAGACATTGTTTTAATATGTTTTGTTCTGAAACGTTTCCAAAAACTGAATCACTTCATTATCATTCTACTTTCAAGCATGTTTACCAGATAAAAGGATTTGCAAATCAAAGGAAGTAAAATTGTGTGAAAATTTACTCAGTTGCGCAGCTAGCCAACACACATTTGCTACTGTCAGGCCGCTATGGGACATGTTCAAAGTAGGTCAACGTATTGAATGACTCACTGCTCCCCCCCCCCCCCCCCCCGCCAACGTTGGCGCGCATTGGGCGCAGGCACAAGAGTGGTATCAACGACCGCCGTCTTGAGCTGCACCAGGGTCTGCTGGCTCTTCGTCATGTATGGTGCATTGTTCAGATATCCCCGCTGCACGCTGTACGCTGTACGCCGCTGTTTCGTTATGATATTTTCTGCTCGATTTGTTTGAAATATGGAAATATGTACAGACACTGGATGTGCAAAGCGTCCGTGTAGGACATCTACTTGTTTCAAACTGTCCCGGAGCATCCATGTTTCGGAAGTGCACGGCGTCGATGATGGCGAAAACGAGGGGTGCAATAATGTTGTAGCGGAACACCGGGACTGCACACAACTCACTGCAGTTGTCGACGTTTACACCGAATTATCTTGCTCAGCTCAGGTTGGCTTTGAAAACGGCAGGGTCATCGGGCGGGCTTAAAGGCGGTTAATACAGAGGACGGGACGGGATGGAGTGAAGGTTCCCGTTCAGGCGGTAAAGGGGGGGGGCGTCAAAATACCGGACTGTGACCCCTCAACGTGCGGCCGCCTCCCCCCTCCCCCAACTTTCATGACAACCATTAAGGACGGGCGTACAACTATAAGCACATGTTGCATTTCGGATGTTGTGCCTGTAACAAATGTAAAGTTTTGCATTTTTTGACAATCAAAGCTCATTGCCTCCCAGCGAAGTAGATATTGAAACAATTTTTGAAGAGTTGATCTACCATTTGCCTATTCCGGCGACCGCCATAAAAGCCTCAAAAGCGTGTGAAATTCAATGGGCCTGAGCTGTGCTGGGTTCGGCGCCCATGGGCCCCGCTTGGGCTGGGCTGTGCTCTGTGGGTTGGCTGGCCCGTGACGAACACTGCACCCTCGAGCCCGGCATAAACTTAACATGGCCGGTTCATAGTATAAAAGTCCGGCTGAGCCTTCTTTCAGCTTAGCAGCAGCATTCTAGTATTTGCAGATACCGTGCATGTTTCATACAAGACACAATTATACCTATAGATTCGCCCATGACAACCCCGATTCGTTGTTTGCCCGCATCAATAGAACGGAACACCTATCAACTACTAGCTCCAGTATAAACGTATCAACATGGATGCTCGTATAGTCCTATTTACCTTCGTATCCATATTTGACCTAACTGCTCTTTCTGGCACAGTTCAACACAAAACCTTAGTTTGTTGTCTGGAATAGATCAGAACAATACCTATGGGTGTTGTTGGTAGGTAGTTAACCCTAGAACGCCTAGGGGGGGGGGGTATCAACCCCCCCCTGAGGTTTTTTTCGAAGTGCACGCTAAACGGCTTGTCGTAGCGGGCTGAAATTTTCAATACCCTCTGGGGCAACCTTTGCGCATCTTTTGCCGAAAAAAATTGATCGGGTCATGTCAGGTCACGGAGTCATGACGTCATATGAGGTACAGCCTCCGGCCGGATTTTCACAAACTGAGTGCCAACGCCCGAGGTTTCCTGCCGGTGGTACGGACATCGGTTGATGGATCGTGATGAAACTTCCCATGCATGTTCGGGCAAGTATTGGCTATCATATGGTATAAGAAATTTGACCGGGTCAGGTCAGGTCACGGAGCTATGACGTCACAAGAGGAACAGCGTCCGGTACTATTTTTGAAAAGCGCCCGAACCACTATTTTGCTAATTCTTGTCACCTTAATGGGAATATGCAGCAATATTAGCTTCTATAGGGAGCAAATGGACCTCCCAAATCAAAATATTCAATCAGATTTCAAAAATTTAAATTTTGATTTTTCGAATTTCTGCCGCCGACTGTGACCTTGCCGACTTCCGGCGCTCCCAACGCGCCATTTTTAGAGCTAGGGAAACGAAATACATACCAAACGATAGAAAATTGATCAAGGAACACGATAGTGAAGGTTTCAAGTCGATATCTCCCACCGTTTTGCCGCAATCGCCGCCGAAAGTTGAAAAAGTCTATTTTTCCGAAAATTTGACCTTTGACCGGTCAAAAGTAGGTCAAATGTTGACCTAGGACCAAAAAAATATACCACCAATCGCGAGATCTCGTTGAGAGCAATCCGTTGGTTTTTTCCGCTAAGCTCTACGACCTTCCGTTTCGAAACGCCAGGGGGGCTGGTCGTAACAACCCCCCCCCCCTGGTCGTTCGTGTTATGAGAAATGGCCTGGTCGTGCGAGAGTTAAAAAGTAATACCTAACGGTAACGGGTGACCTAATACACCGATCACTTCCACTCATCGGTTGCAGTGACTGAAAATGGCTTTAATGTAATTCAAAACTGCATTTATACTCCGGTTTCCAACACTTGTTCGTTGTATTTATAATTAGTGGTGGCTTCTCTTCCGTCATAAGCGCGAATCGAACCTAAAATGGGCCTGTACTTTTTCAATTTTGCCGATAAAAATATATTTTTGGTACCGTTAGAAAGCTTACACACGACTGCATGTGGTACTAGTTGTATCTTTGAAAAATCCGTCCTAGTTTAGTCAGGAGAGCTAATCAAAAAGTAGGTCCCATTGTATCCCTATGGGGGCCGAGAGCGAGTCGGCACCACAGTTACCGGGAGGTGCCCCCGCCACAACCGCACGTGCGGATCCCTCGAAAAACAGCGAGTCCGCCAGTCACGTGACCAGGCTCATTTGCCGACACTGTATTTATATACACTGTGCCTTGGCCCAACTGTCGGCCAAATGTCACGTGACATTTGACCTTGACTCGGCACCAAAATTTGATGACAAATACTGCGCGGTTGATACATTTGATGGCGTCAACAAACTGCCTGCTCCAAATCTTATACAATTTTAAGCTTGTATCAGATTTGCAATCTTTTCTCTTGTATTTTGCTGTGACCTGCCATAATATTTTATTGCAGATTGCAGAGCTCTTACTCTGATTCAGTTTTGTGTTAGCAAGCAGCATGCCAGGGTGTTTTGCATCTGGGTGCAGCCACCACAACAGCGCTGCAAGATGTACATTTAGGTTTCCAAGAGATGGAGAGGAGAAGATGAGGGTCGCTTAGGTGAGGGCTGTCAGGTAAGATCCAGATGTGTCCTTGTTAGCTGTAATGATGAATGCAATACATTATGTAGTAATGATAAATGTAATAAATGTTATGTAATGACGAGCACAAACCAGGAGCTTTTACAGCCCAATGATCACCATAGGCAAAGATTCCATTTCTCGTCCTGAAAAGTGCCTTCTTGAGGAATATGTGCTTTGCTGAGGAATGCAGCCATGTCATCGTCAGCTAATCAGCATGCTGCTAACAGCCAATGGGTTTGAATTTTACAACATGATTAATCAATGCAAGCTTCCGCGTCAAACAATATTTTCTATAGAATATTGGTTAGTTGTAAAGCAGGCGTCACACTACTTTTTGCAATGAAGGAGAGGTGCTATACCCAGAGATGCTTTCTAATTGAACCAAGCCAAAACAAACCTAACTAAACCTGACCTAGCCATAACTACAACCTAAACTCTACAACCTAGGTACAACTTTTTGTTGCTTTTGTTGCTTTTTGTTGTTAAAACTTTTTGTACAACTTAGAACCTACAACCTAACCTACAGCACCTCTCCTTGGTTGCAAAAAGAAGTGTGACGCCTGCTTTACTACTACCAAATATAGTTCTTTTATTAAAATACAGAAAATATTGTTTATAAAGGTTTTATTTTTGTGCTGATCATAATTAGCATAACAAATCAAATCCATTGCATAAAACTAATTACAGGAAAGAGAACATGAAATCCATTAAAAGCTTATCATATTTATCACAAGTTACCTAATGCAGGTAATGCTTTGACCTGGTATTCCGTTGAGTGTAATGCCGCAGGCAGCTCTAAGGGATGTGTTGGAATGGGTAAGGAAAATATTTTTGGTTGAAGAGGTGTGTTATAGGCTACAGGCCAAATGCATACCTCTTTAACAAAAAGAAAAGAAAAGATGTAGGTACTCTTACCTAGCATATATTCCAGTTACTATGTACAAAAAAGACGTGCTACGAATGTTGCTAGCGAACCACTGTAGGTTGGGTTAGTTAAGGTTTGACCATGTTCTGAAGCATTGTAAATAATCATAATTGTTCACTCTTAGCACCTCACATTGATATAAAGCCAATTAGCTACATTTTGATTGCTAGGTGAGGATGTCAACCTTCTGATTCTGGATTCTGGAGCCAAAATAACATGATACAGTGTCAGTGATACCATCTTGTTTAGAAGCTGTGGCTGTGCTGTCTGAGTCAATATCTTACCTCTAAACACAAGGCATTTTGTATGTAAAAGTCCACGTGCAAGAACAGTATGCCAGTTGTTACATTTGTTGCATCTGTCATTTACAGACGTGCAGATGCAGTTCCCAGGAGCACTTCCCAGCTCTGTTCCTGTCATTTTGAGGAGGGCAGCTGCATCCCAACACTCTTCCAGTACAACGGGTACCAGATTGCTCATTTCCGGTAAGCACTAGCCACTTAACTTCATTGTTTGAGTCCAACTCATATGCCAGGTTGCTTACCATACCAGTATATGCATAGTAATGATGCAAGTCTTGAGCCTACGGGCCCGGGCGGTGTTTCACGGGACGCTGCTACCACGCTGTTATCAAATTGCGCGAGCTGACTACTGACGTCACACTTGTGGTAGTGTTGGAGCAATGGGCCTGTTCATGTCTCCATGGAAACCCAATTTGACACGTGTAAAAGCATCGTGCTGCTATCACCGGTGAAACAGGGCCCCGGTGTCGGGCTTAAATTCGGACCCGCCGGACTTTTGCCGGGCCTAAGCTCGAGGAGGCCGGGCATATGCCGGGCTCGGCAAGGGCTTGCCTGTGTTAAAGGGACAATCCCACCTTCCAAAAAGTTAATAAATTGGCATAAAAGTGATGTACCATAAATCAGAAAGAGCGAAATTTTTAGGTTTACATTTTGCACGAAGCCACCAAAGCGATGCAGCAGGCTAGTCATATGTATTTCTTGTTGCACACTCATATGTTGGGCAAAATGTATTGATGACAAGTGGAAGAAGTGGAAAAACGGTTTTAGCCTTTATTTGTGTATTATGTGTATACCTGTCAGCGCAGTGTGGAAGTTGAAATTGTTGGTTTGGTAAATCTTCATAAAAAAAACATAATAGTTGTGGTTCAGTTCAAAGTTGATTCAAATTCACAAACTCAGTTTTTGTGATGTGGTTGCAGGTCGCCTGTGCTACACCAAGCTCAGAAAGGGAAAGCGGATCACACAGCCACCATCAGCGCGCTAGAACTCCAAGGAGGATCTGCGAGCGGCGCGCCAGGCGCCGTCGGAGCAGCCCCTGGTAGCGACAGCCGCCGCGCCGTCGGAGCAGTCCCTGGGAGCCACGGCCAGCCGCTGTCGGAGCAGCCTCTGGGAGCCGGCCGGCCGCCGTCGGAGAGGCCTCTGGGAGCTTACCTGTAACTGACTGCGGCTGACGTGTGTGTCCGTGTGCGCGCGTGTGTGTGTGCGTTTCCACTGGCAGTGATAGTGACAGGTGAACGGTGTTCATGACCGATGGCCGGCGGTCTTTGTTGTTATTCTGATAGTACGTATGAGACATTGTTTTAATATGTTTTGTTCTGAAACGTTTCCAAAAACTGAATCACTTCATTATCATTCTACTTTCAAGCATGTTTACCAGATAAAAGGATTTGCAAATCAAAGGAAGTAAAATTGTGTGAAAATTTACTCAGTTGCGCAGCTAGCCAACACACATTTGCTACTGTCAGGCCGCTATGGGACATGTTCAAAGTAGGTCAACGTATTGAATGACTCACTGCTCCCCCCCCCCCCCCCCCCCGCCAACGTTGGCGCGCATTGGGCGCAGGCACAAGAGTGGTATCAACGACCGCCGTCTTGAGCTGCACCAGGGTCTGCTGGCTCTTCGTCATGTATGGTGCATTGTTCAGATATCCCCGCTGCACGCTGTACGCTGTACGCCGCTGTTTCGTTATGATATTTTCTGCTCGATTTGTTTGAAATATGGAAATATGTACAGACACTGGATGTGCAAAGCGTCCGTGTAGGACATCTACTTGTTTCAAACTGTCCCGGAGCATCCATGTTTCGGAAGTGCACGGCGTCGATGATGGCGAAAACGAGGGGTGCAATAATGTTGTAGCGGAACACCGGGACTGCACACAACTCACTGCAGTTGTCGACGTTTACACCGAATTATCTTGCTCAGCTCAGGTTGGCTTTGAAAACGGCAGGGTCATCGGGCGGGCTTAAAGGCGGTTAATACAGAGGACGGGACGGGATGGAGTGAAGGTTCCCGTTCAGGCGGTAAAGGGGGGGGGGCGTCAAAATACCGGACTGTGACCCCTCAACGTGCGGCCGCCTCCCCCCTCCCCCAACTTTCATGACAACCATTAAGGACGGGCGTACAACTATAAGCACATGTTGCATTTCGGATGTTGTGCCTGTAACAAATGTAAAGTTTTGCATTTTTTGACAATCAAAGCTCATTGCCTCCCAGCGAAGTAGATATTGAAACAATTTTTGAAGAGTTGATCTACCATTTGCCTATTCCGGCGACCGCCATAAAAGCCTCAAAAGCGTGTGAAATTCAATGGGCCTGAGCTGTGCTGGGTTCGGCGCCCATGGGCCCCGCTTGGGCTGGGCTGTGCTCTGTGGGTTGGCTGGCCCGTGACGAACACTGCACCCTCGAGCCCGGCATAAACTTAACCCGCGCACCGACGGGGGTCTGCGCCAACTTCGTACCGACGGGGGGGGGGCGGATGACCGCCCCCCCCTGAGATCTCGAGAACGAAGCAAGATAGCGACAAGCGGTAAACGGCATCGGATACGCACGGCCAAGATCTACAATTTTTACTAAGGTCATTTTCAGGTCAGGTCAAAGATGACGTCACAGGGGTCGAAAAAGTCAAAATGGCAGCGCTAGATATGGAGAGAGTTTTTCTCGAATAACTTTCGAATTAGTCAAGATAGGAACAAACTAAGGGCATCATCGTGATCCTCTCGTCAATCCGCATCGAATGATATATATGTTGACCTCGAAAGGTCAAGGTCAAAGGTTGACCTCAGGTCACGTGACCTCGAGGTCACCATGTATATCATTCGATGCGTCTTGACGAGCTGAACACAATGAGACCATCCACGCGTCTGTATCTTGTTCCTGTACGGAGTTATTGGCCAAAAACCTTTGGTGACCTTTGATGACGTCACATGACCTCACAGCTGCCCAACAGCAAAACAGACCTCAAGGTAGTGAAGGTTGATCGTATATGAAGTCATGTATGGTATATGGGGCCATTCCGACCCGTTTTAGTGGTAAAAACAGGGAGTTGATTTTTCCCCCATTGACTTATAATGGGGAGGTCGCGAAATTGACCTGACCTTAGGTCACCGATATCAAAATTCCGAGATATACAAATTGTAGCTACTAATGACCTTATAATATCCTGTGAGTTTCAAAGGCCTCTGACATCTACTGTAGCTCTGGCACGGTGACAAAGTTGCAAAAAAGTGACTTGAGGTTGGGTCATTCAAAGTGACCTGGTGACCTGACCTTAAAAGGTAGGAGGTTCAAACTTGCACACCATGTGTAAAATTGATGAGGTTATAGTCATACCAAATTTCGCGGCGCTACGCGCCGCGGTTTTCCCGCTATTCGCGAAAAACCTCAGGGGGGGGCGGATATCCGCCCCCCCCCGTCGGTGCGCGGGTTAACATGGCCGGTTCATAGTATAAAAGTCCGGCTGAGCCTTCTTTCAGCTTAGCAGCAGCATTCTAGTATTTGCAGATACCGTGCATGTTTCATACAAGACACAATTATACCTATAGATTCGCCCATGACAACCCCGATTCGTTGTTTGCCCGCATCAATAGAACGGAACACCTATCAACTACTAGCTCCAGTATAAACGTATCAACATGGATGCTCGTATAGTCCTATTTACCTTCGTATCCATATTTGACCTAACTGCTCTTTCTGGCACAGTTCAACACAAAACCTTAGTTTGTTGTCTGGAATAGATCAGAACAATACCTATGGGTGTTGTTGGTAGGTAGTTAACCCTAGAACGCCTAGGGGGGGGGGGTATCAACCCCCCCTGAGGTTTTTTTCGAAGTGCACGCTAAACGGCTTGTCGTAGCGGGCTGAAATTTTCAATACCCTCTGGGGCAACCTTTGCGCATCTTTTGCCGAAAAAAATTGATCGGGTCATGTCAGGTCACGGAGTCATGACGTCATATGAGGTACAGCCTCCGGCCGGATTTTCACAAACTGAGTGCCAACGCCCGAGGTTTCCTGCCGGTGGTACGGACATCGGTTGATGGATCGTGATGAAACTTCCCATGCATGTTCGGGCAAGTATTGGCTATCATATGGTATAAGAAATTTGACCGGGTCAGGTCAGGTCACGGAGCTATGACGTCACAAGAGGAACAGCGTCCGGTACTATTTTTGAAAAGCGCCCGAACCACTATTTTGCTAATTCTTGTCACCTTAATGGGAATATGCAGCAATATTAGCTTCTATAGGGAGCAAATGGACCTCCCAAATCAAAATATTCAATCAGATTTCAAAAATTTAAATTTTGATTTTTCGAATTTCTGCCGCCGACTGTGACCTTGCCGACTTCCGGCGCTCCCAACGCGCCATTTTTAGAGCTAGGGAAACGAAATACATACCAAACGATAGAAAATTGATCAAGGAACACGATAGTGAAGGTTTCAAGTCGATATCTCCCACCGTTTTGCCGCAATCGCCGCCGAAAGTTGAAAAAGTCTATTTTTCCGAAAATTTGACCTTTGACCGGTCAAAAGTAGGTCAAATGTTGACCTAGGACCAAAAAAATATACCACCAATCGCGAGATCTCGTTGAGAGCAATCCGTTGGTTTTTTCCGCTAAGCTCTACGACCTTCCGTTTCGAAACGCCAGGGGGGCTGGTCGTAACAACCCCCCCCCTGGTCGTTCGTGTTATGAGAAATGGCCTGGTCGTGCGAGAGTTAAAAAGTAATACCTAACGGTAACGGGTGACCTAATACACCGATCACTTCCACTCATCGGTTGCAGTGACTGAAAATGGCTTTAATGTAATTCAAAACTGCATTTATACTCCGGTTTCCAACACTTGTTCGTTGTATTTATAATTAGTGGTGGCTTCTCTTCCGTCATAAGCGCGAATCGAACCTAAAATGGGCCTGTACTTTTTCAATTTTGCCGATAAAAATATATTTTTGGTACCGTTAGAAAGCTTACACACGACTGCATGTGGTACTAGTTGTATCTTTGAAAAATCCGTCCTAGTTTAGTCAGGAGAGCTAATCAAAAAGTAGGTCCCATTGTATCCCTATGGGGGCCGAGAGCGAGTCGGCACCACAGTTACCGGGAGGTGCCCCCGCCACAACCGCACGTGCGGATCCCTCGAAAAACAGCGAGTCCGCCAGTCACGTGACCAGGCTCATTTGCCGACACTGTATTTATATACACTGTGGGTATTTTTTTCATTTATTTCTACATAACTAGTGCTCACTGGTTTACTTTAAAATTGTTATTGATATTTCACAATGCTATCATGCACATATCATTCAGAACGCATTTTTGCTTTTCTGACGTTGTCATTTTCGTAAGAACATCTTAAAACTCTCTGAGTTTGAAGACTTCTAGCAAGACTTCTAGAGAGAAGTACCTATTAGACCAAAAGAAAGTACAATTGAATGAAATTTGAAGAGAAACGTAAGAAAGGCTAAAAATTTGCTTTTCTTAAAACAAGTTTGAGTTTTGGATAATCTGGCCCATTTTCCTGAGTGACGATCCCACATTCATTTAAATTTCCTTTCCACAATCCACAACCATGGATTAGGAATACTTCATTCATGCGGCTGACAAGCCACAACACAATTTCTTTTTTCATTTACATTCTGTATTGGATTTCAATGCTTTAAAATTCAGTTTGTACTTTGTTTTGCAGTTTCAGTTTCTTCAATTTGTTTCAGCTTGTTTCTTTTAGGCTGTCCTCTCCCAGCGCCCGGCCAAGATTACTTTACTAATACGCCCGGCGGCTCTTCCCAAGCATGTCCCCAAACCGTAAAAAGTCGCTAGATTTGCGATGCTACTTTGTGGCTCAATTATGCCGCACAAGTTCCGTTTGTTGCGGATACAATTTTGCTGAAGGCTCATGTTATAATTGCTTATTATTAATTATATTCTATCCATTTTACTTCTTTGTGAGAAGTGATAATGACCAATAATATATAGCAATATTTTGAAAGGAAGACCGAAGAAATTGTCTGTTTGAACTGTCTAAAGTCAGCTTTGCAAGACAGGGGAAGACAACCTTGAGCACTTTTTACTGGTATGTGGAAAACTTTCGGGCCCGGCTATAAGAATATCGATGCCTGAGCTCCAACAACTGTATGAAGAGGACAGGGAAAGGGTTATTGCAAATTTTTTGTTCACCAAAGATTTTTAAGACATAGAACGGAATAAAGAAAGTCTATACCAAATGCGGTAAATGAGAAACAGGAAAATAAGAGAGGGTCGTGAGGAACAGTGATGGCAATGGCATACCTACTAAAAAGGCGGAATGCATGATCCTTTCACTGATCCATGACCCATTTGTGCCCAGTACTGAACCATACAGGGTGCCGATGTAAAGGCGAAACTGCAAACAAACTATCTGCATCATTAGCCAGCTAGTGAGAATAAGGAGAAAAACCTTTATTTTGGCAGAAAAACATGGCTGACATCCAGCCTGCAGGCGTTAATCAGCTGTGACCGTATGGTGCAGTCCAAAAGCTTATTTGATTGCTTAACCCTCGCCCGCACATGCCATTTTCCCATCCTAGAACGCACATGGGGGGGGGGGTGGTTGCCACCCCCCCCGCGCCATTTCGTTCCTGTTGGAGATAGAGCTTAGCAGTAAAGACCAAAAAGATTCTTTGGGAAGAGACGAATCCAATGATACCCAGTTTTACCTTCTCAGGTCAGTCATTGACCTTCCAGGTCAGGTCAAACTAAAAAATGTTGCTGTTTTGGGTCACCGTTGGATATCAAGTGCGCTGCTTATCAAATACCGATGACGATGCTGTTTTCTGGTGCCAAGCCAGCTAGAACCTCTTTGTCACACTATCCGACCAGAATTTTGCTGCTGAGGTCATTTCAGGTCAAGTTAGGTCAAGGTCAATTATATGTGTTTGTATGTCTGTGTGTGTCTGTGTGTATACTGATGTGTGCACCGATCGTTTTTGGGTCCATATCACATGAAATCATGATCTGAGAAGCTTTTACCAAAAATGCAGTCAAAAAACTTCACAAAAAGTAAATTCAGCTTGCCTAAAACGCAATTATCTTAGATGACCTAGGTTGACCTTGACCCTGACCTTGACCCCTGTACATCGTCGAACAACATGTTCCATGATAGGTGGGAGGTAAGACTGGCAAAAAAGGCCGAAATCAGGGTGTCAAAAGCTCACAAGACCCATGGCAAACGCAAGATGTTGAGAATTGGCCATTTGGGTCATGACATGACCTGAAAAACAAGGTCATATCTCCGAAACCAAAAACCACAGAAACTTGAAATTTTCAGTGGACATCAAGAAAGGATAGACGAGCAGCTATACGAAAAATCAGCTTTCTAGCTTTAAAAATGTTGAGTGCAGAGCAGAAAGACTGCCTGGGGGGGGGGGGGGGGTGGCAACCACCCCCCCCATGTGCGGGCGAGGGTTAACTCTTCATTTTAATGCTATTCTTCTATTACTAAATTTAATATAAGCCACTGTTGGACTAAGGTTTATGATTATTCATTCAAACTTATATTTAAGGTTTGGTTTCTTGTAAAAAGACATCCTGAAGAAGGTGAACAAAAGAGCTCAATCTGTTACCAACCAGCCTTGTTTGTTTTGAGTTTGACATAGTTGTAAATTTGTGCTTAGAAGCAAGCTTTGATATTTTCTTGTGATTTTCAATATTGCAGATACTCACAACATTGAAGTTGCTGTAGAAGAAAATGGACCGTTTTGAATGGAGTGATGGAACCCTTCTCTTCGCTGAAACAGAAGTGTATCAACAAAAGAACATTCAACTCTATGATGGTGACAATAAGACAGACTTTGAGGGTGGTCATTTGACTTTGACAACACATCGGCTTCTTTGGCGTAACGCAAACGGATCATGTTTGGCGCTGCCGCTCAAATACATTGTCCTTGCTGAGAAAGAGGACCACACATTCTTCCATAGTGACAAGATAGTGGCGCACCTATCTGCCCCGGCGCCCGGCCGACCGGCGGGTCCGGTCAACCGCAGCAGCCACAGCCACATCAAGCTGTCGTTCCGCTCGGGCGGCATGCACGAGATGTTCTCGCGCCTGAAGGAGACCATGTCTGGCGAGGAGTGGGTGAAGACGTGTAGCTTGTCGGCCGGCACGTCCGGTGACAAGCGCGGCTACCGCGCCGGCATCGTCGGCATCGAGAAGAAGCTGGTGGCCGAGCAGCAGCAGCAGAACCGGAGCATCTCGGAGGCGTTCCGCGACCTCACCAACCTGATGGAGGCCGCCCGCGAGATGGTGGCGCTCAGCCGCCAGATCTCGACCAAAATCACCGAGAAACAGGGCGGCATCAGCGAGGACGAGACGGTGCGCTTCCAGTCGCAGCTGCTCAGTCTGGGCGTGGACGACCCGGTGACGCGGGGCACGCACGGCTCCGGCGACCGCTACCACGCCGAGCTGGCGCGCCAGCTGGCCACCATGCTGGAGGCGCCGGCGCGCCAGGCCGGCGGCATGCTCACCCTGACGGACGCCTACTGCCGCGTGAACCGGGCGCGCGGCCTGGAGCTCATCTCGCCGGAGGACCTGCTGTCGGCGGGCCGGCAGATGACGCGGCTGGCGCTGCCGCTGCGGCTGCACGAGCTGCCGTCGGGCGTGCGGCTGCTGCAGCTGGCCGAGCTGGACCAGGACGCGGTGGCCGAGAGCACGCGCCGCCTGCTGGCCGAGCGCGGCACGCTGACCGCCCAGCAGCTGGCCGCGCTGGCCGGCGTCTCCGTGCTGCTGGCCAAACAGCGCCTTCTCTACCTGGAGACCAAGGGCGGCGCGTGCCGCGACGAGTCCATCCAGGGACTGGTCTTCTACCCGAACCGCTTCCTGGAGGAGGCCCAGGCGGATTAGTGCGTGGTGATGATAGGTGTTCAGTGGAAATGTTGATGGAACAGAAACAGATGCCTTTTGTGCTCTGGGACTATTTCAATGGTGTGCGATAGCGTCATACGATAAGTTTTATTGTTGATTTTGTATGAATTTCTGTTCGAGGATTCCCGAGCATATTATTTTGAATGTCGTCCATACTCAATTAGTTTTGCAAGTGTGTGAACTCGATGGTCATGTACGACTGATTTAAACCTGCCCTTCTTCACTCTTCTGCGTCAGACTCGACTGGTAAAGGCGTATGTAAATGATGTTATTGCTCATGTCATTGCGGTGTTCACTGGCGTGCCTCTTTCCCGGTTGATGTGAGATGGAATTCCACGTGAGATGTAGGGCTTATAATTGCTTTGCTTTCTAGCGATGTTCCTGCATCTGAAAGTCAAGATGTGAATTTCAGTTTTTTTCAGACCTCTCTTGCTCGCGTGTCAAACCGATTGAGTACGAGTTCTTATCAAAGTTGATTGACCAACGATACCGTGAGAGCGTCGTGTTTCGTTGTCTGGATCGCTGGAAAATGTTACAAATATATCAGGAAAGGATTCGTTGGATCCCGATTGAATGGATAGCACGCATATAGAACGGCCAGGCTGGAGCCGGCGCTGCATCTCATAGCATTGCATGGTGCTAATGGTAGTTGATGGTGGGGTTGCTGCACTGGCGTCTAACTAGCGAAAACGGTAGCTGGCGCACTTAGTTTAAAAACTAGATCACGAGCTGAGTGAGACTGACACTCCCGAAAGCTGGATATGACCGCGACAGCCACCGACAGCATTGAGATAGGTGTTTATGTCCTCCCCAGCTAGTGACCATCTGACATCTTGACAGCTTGACCATCTTGACATCTGACATGAAAGTGCTGACTCCTGTGCCGGCCGGTTACGTTGATGAGCGCCCGATTTGAGCCGATTCGGTGCTCGTCACTCTGCCTCCGACGGGTACGGCCAGCAGATGGTGGCAGTGGTCGAGGACCGCCGTACCGGTCAGATGAGCTCGATGAGCGTGAAGGGCTGTATGATGACACTAAACGTTGCATTCCTAACCTTGCCATGCACCAGGAAGCATTGCGAAGAATAGATAAATCTGGAGATGTTATCTCTTCTGGGAAATCAGCATGCCTGTCCAGCTACATGCTGGAGTTTTAGTAACAAAAAAAAATAGCCAACAGAAGCATTTATTCGAATGTATATTTGCCTTATACGAAAATAACTAAGTACGAAGGGTAAATCAGGAATCTAAGATTGAAAAGGAATGTGTGTTTTTCCTGATTTGTTCTATGATATTCATAATAACAGCACTTTTCTATTTACTAGCAGCAAGTCTCTTAGACCATAAAAATCCGCCGGCGCACGTATTACGATCGTGACGCAGACAAATCTTTGGAAGCGGTGGTAGGTAAACACGTGATAATACGATAGCAATAATAATAGGATTATTGAAATCAAAATTGTTCGAATTTCGGTGACTTTCGTTTTAAGACGCACGACTCCTAATTTTCCGCGTAAGGTAAGAAACTGTAAAATTCATTGAAGTGGTAGGCAATGAAGATGCAAAGTAAAGAATTAGATTACTTTGCAAAGCTCACCTGTTAAACTCACCTGTTAGGTTTCCACAACCTCGGCTCGTAAAGGAAGGAGTGGAAACCTATTGCGTGCAGAGACGCGCCAATTCCTTGGGTGGGCAGATGGCTGGACCTCAGGCAAGGAATTGGAATGGTGCGTCTGCATTTGGTAAAACACTGAAAAAAGAAAACTGGTGCGTGTTTTAAGTGCCAGAATCCTAGACAAGATGATCAATTATGTAAATGAGAAAAGAGGGTACCGAAATGTGATACGTTCTCGGAAGGAAAGGTCAGGATAGGTAACCTAGGTAAGTCCACCCGGTCCAGCTCGAGAAGGGCGGGCAGCAGCTACCTAGGGGGTAAGGGCGGAATATGATAGGTAGCCCAGGCGCGTATAACCCCGCCCCAACTTGGGAAGGGTGGGGCGCTTACCTGGGGGGGGGGGGATGAAGGATGAGATGTGGATCGTTTGCCTTCACTTATCCTGTGTGTTCGTACAATCTACTGCCCAGTGCGGCTTTCAGTCCCTTTTTAAACTGCACCAGGGACTCCTCGTTCACCAGCCAATCTGGGAGGGCATTCCAATCGCGCACGACTCTGTGGGTGAAAAACCGTGACCTTGCATCTATAAGACTCCGACACGTTTTTATCTTCCTACTATGCCCGCGCGTTCTGTTGTCAGCCTCCAGATCCCAGAGGATCTCCGGGGATATCTTACTGTGGCCGTGAAAAATCTTCCAACATTTGATAATATCGGCTCGAAGGAGGCGTCCCTTCACAGAGAATAGGTCAAGTTCCTTTAGGCGATCACCATATTCCATATTGCGGAGCCCAATCACATTGCGAGTCCAGAGCCTTTGAACAGACTCTAATCTTTTGAGATCCTGTACATAGCCACTGTTCCAGATCGGTGACGCGTACTCGAGAATGGGGCGAATGTGAGATTTCAGTATATGAGTCATAAAGTCAGGCGAGCGACACCTGGTCGATTTCAAGAAATTGTGAGCAACTCCTCCAGCCTTCGCTGCTATGCTGGCACAGTGTTCATGGAATTTCATCTCGTTGTCGATGATAACACCCAGGTCACTACATGACGTAACGCAGGGAATTGTGTCACCAGCCATTGTGTATGCACGGGGCTCGAAGTCATGGAATCGTCGCCTAAATCGTATGACGGCGCACTTCCTGAGGTTCATGCTGAGACCCCAAGACTCTGCCGTAGAGTGGAGCAAGTCTATATCTTTTTGTAGCGCCTCTTCACTGGTGTTGTGTTTATCGTTGTCTAGTTTGATAAATACTTTAAGATCGTCAGCAAAGATCTTATAACTGCACGACAAACTGGACGCAACGTGGTTGATGTAAACCAAAAAGAGAATGGGTCCTAAAACCGATCCCTGAGGAACGCCACTCCGAACCTCCGCAGCTGAACTCGTGGTGCCCTTAACAAGAACCTGCATCGTACGCCCCACCAAGAAATCTGTCAGCCATGTGATAAGTCGCCCTTGGACACCGACTAACCTGAGTTTTTCTAGAAGAATAGTATGGCGCACCACATCAAAAGCCTTTGAAAAGTCGAACAGAACTAGATCAACGGGATGACCCAGATCTAAGGCTACAGTTACCTCATCGTAGGTCAGGAGTAGCTGGTCCTCCGTGGATCGTCCTGGACGAAACCCGAACTGTTCGTCACTGAGGATCTGATTTGCAATGAAGAATGCGTAGAGCTCTTTGGAAATTATCCTTTCAAGACTTTTGCAAGATACAGACGTGAGCGATACTGGTCTGTAGTTCATTGGGTCGTTACGAGAACCCTTCTTAAATATCGGTACGACGAGCGAGGATTTCCACGCCGAGGGCAGCGCTCCCTCCAGAAGAGACTGCCTGTAAATCATGAGAAGTGGTGTGCATAAAGTTGCAGCACATGCCTTAAGCAGGGCTGGGTGCAAGCCGTCCTGGCCCATTGCTGAGTTCGGATCAAGGTTACTGAGCGTAGAATGTACGTCAGTTAGGCTAATGTCAATGTCAGCCATGACAGTATCACTTCGCTGGTGAGCAGCTGGTTTATCTGGAATCGTCGTAGCGTGTATGCCAGTAAACACATGCAAAAAGCAGTCAGCCATCTCCTTGGGGTCGTCAGATATGGTATCAGGGTCGAGACGAAGAGGACCAACTGAAGAGCGAAGCTGCTTCTTGTGTCTAATGTAAGAGTGTAGCAGCTTGGGATTATCTCTAGACCTTGCTATGAGTGATTTCTCGTACTCAATTTGCGATGATGCGGCAAATGATCTAAGTTGCGAGTTGGCCTGCTGAAAACCTTCCAGCGCCAGGGTGGTCAGATGCGACTTCCTACCATGTTCTGACCTAAGGCTTTTGTATTTTTCCCAAGCCTCCTTTCGCAGACGTTTCAGCGACGATGGGGGATTCGCCTTCCAGGGGATCTTCCGCTGCCCACCACCCTGACCGGCTCGCGGAATGAACTGGTCAACGAGGGGCTCTAAGATAGACAGCAGCTTAACAAAAGCGTCTTGCGCGGAGATATGTCTGAGCTCAAAGTCCCAGTCAACAGTGCTGAGAGATGCATTGATAGCACTATACTGTCCTCGATGCCACTGGTGTCTCAGGAGTTGTTGCGAGTGTAACTGAATGTCCATGTCAAATACATACTCACAGTGAATACTACAGTGATCGCATCCGGGTGGGGGAGGCTGCACTTGTACTGTAGTTATCCTGTCCTGCTCGGAGGTTAGAATAAGATCTAGAACGTTGCCAGACCTCGGGAACGTGGTCTCATGTATCCACTGCGTAAGTCCGAGGGCAATGAACATGTCAACAAATGTCCGATCAGCTGCTGAGAATTGCCCACAGGGTTTATGGTCAATCCAGGCAACCGAGGGGAGGTTAAAATCTCCGAGAATGACTACTTCCTTCCCAGTGCAACTAGTCAAAAGAAAATCAGTTAAAGCCTGGTTCTCGCAAGAAGAGTATGAAGGGGGTCGATACACCACGTAAATGTGAACGTTCATCTTTCTCAGTCTAAATGACAGGCAGTTAGGGTGTGTTGTATCTACTTCATCAAATCTCAAGGCCTCTTCCACAAAAGCGCAAACGCCATGCTTAGATGTGGCACCAGAGTCGTTTCGCAGTAGCTCATAGCCAGGGATGGAGACAGTTGCATTAGACACAGAAGGAGTAAGATGGGACTCTGTGATCAATAGAATGCCAGGTCTAAACGAGTTTACCAGAGATTCGCGAATGATTGAAAGCTTGCTACAAATGCCGTTTACATTGCAATGCACTAGTTGTAGGCGGAACGTCCGTGGAGTACCTCTGCCTCGTATCAGTTTCCCTCCCCGGGCCCCTGAGGAGAGCTGGGGACGTGCTGGCCGTCTCCCCTCCCCCCAGCGCTGTCAGCCGGAGGGTGAGCATCCGGGGCTGTCACAACACGAGGAGACTGAGCGGACTCCAGTGTCGGGTTAGGAGCAGGTACCACCTGCTTGGGAACAGTTTCATGGTAAGATGCCACCTGCTTAGGAACAGTTTCATGATAAGAGTGGGAAGTGTCTGCCTCGGGTGTGTGTCGTGTTTGGCCAATCTGCCAGTGAGAAGTTGCATTCTGAGACCTGGACTGTACCCAGACGTGTGGCCTAGAGCTCTGGCGTTCCCTGAGCTCCTCTCGTTGCTGGAACGTGAGGTCACGACGAATGAAGACATGCGAGTTCGAAGACTCACGAAGATGTTTTGCATTATCCAAAATGAGCTTCCGAATTCTGCCGTCGTGAACATTGCCCCTATATAGGTCACCATCGCTTTTGATCCGGCAAACTTCTGTGAACTCAACCTGTTCCCCTATCAGAGCGGAGGCGATTTCTGTAAACCTAGTCACTGCCTCTCTAGCTGTGCCCACTCTCAGTCCCCGTACAACGAGGGAGGAAACTCTTTTCCTCCTCTCCTCCATTTCACGCAGTTCTGCCCTGACAATATGTCTGTAGTCGTTGCTTGTGGATGTGTATTGAGGCTTTCCGGCCCTAGTGTTGACTCCAGCAAGGACAGCCTGGTGAGGGTCTCCATGGACCTGAGGGCGCACCTCAGGTGGAGACCTGACTGCTTCAGCATAGGTTCCGCGCTGTACGGGGTGAGACACATGCTGCTGTCGCTGCTGTCCCTGGAGCATCATGTCAATAGATTTCTTTGACTCTCCTACCAGTTTAGTCAGTTCTTTGATAGAAGACTCGAGCACATGGATCCTTTCCTGAAGGCTAGAAACAGAGTCAGGAACCTTGGTTTGACGCTCATGTGAGGCGTTTGCATCGTCACGTGTCTGTTTCGGTGTGTCGTCCTGATGCTCAAGCTTATCTGGGAAGACCTGTACTGAAGCATCAGTTGTGACTGGTTTTGCCTGGATGTCACTTAAGTTTGGACGCTGTCGGCAAACATCACAAATGAATGCCAGAGATGAGTGTCTCGAGAGAGCATTATATGCTGCCTTGGAAATTCGCTGACAGGCTGCATGGGACCAGGCACCACATATGTCGCACTCAACCCCCTGCTGGCCATCACGCACCTCCAAACCACAAGTTGCACCGCCCGGCCCCCCACTACAGATTGCCTTGTTCCTCACAATTCCCTGGGCTAGTCTGGTAACAGTCGGGGACACAGCTGTACCAGCGTCAAGTGGGAGGGAGCTGATTGCAGCCGCTACAGCTCCCTGTGTCTGTTGTTCAGGGGCTGCTTCAAGTGGATCCAGTACCAAGGCTCCTGGGGGAGAGCGTGTGAGTGGCATGATGGAAGATTGCAGAGAATTCTGAGTCCAATCAGAATCACCACCAACTCAAACCAAGCCCCACCTATACACAATAAAAAACACAGTGTGCAAGAAGAGAAAAATCACAGAAGCATATCAGGCAGCAAACAGTTTGTGCGGTCAGCAAGCGGGACCAATGCAGCACAGAAAAAAACAGGTGCGGTCAGCAAAAGGGACCAAGGTACCACAGACAGCTTGCGCGGTCAGCAAGAGGGACCAACAGTCCGCACAGTCAGCAAGTGGGACGAATGCACCAGACGGGCCGCGCAGTCAGCAGGCGGGACCAATGCACCAGACGGTCTGCGCGGCCAGCAAGTGGGACCAATGTACCACAGACAGCTTGCGCGGTCAGCAAGAGGGACCAACAGTCCGCACAGTCAGCAAGCGGGACGAATGCACCAGACGGGCCGCGCGGTCAGCAGGCGGGACCAATGCACCAGACGGTCCGCGCGGTCAGCAAGTGGGACCAATGTTCCACAGACAGCCTGAGTGGTCAGCAAGAGGAACCAAAGCAGCTTTGTGTTTGTGTCATGCCACACAGACAGTAAGTAAAGCACCAGTACAGCAAGGGCAAGGAGTGCAAGTAGGCAGTGCAGGAAGTAGGACTAACTTTGAGCCGCCAGTTGCTTACTCCCAAACAGGTGATGCAGGCAAGCGGGGTGCAGCAGCTTGCACCTGGTGAAGCAGCGTGCAGCTCCTCAGCCTCCTCGTTGATGCAGCATGCAGCGTGCAGACGTGCAGGAAGTGCAACTCCCAATTTTCAGGTTCCAATTCGAACAAGACCGAATCAAAGATTTGCTCCAGCTTGATACAAGCTTGAACTCATTGTTGCCACCGATACAAACTTAAAACAGAGCAATACAAACTGATAAAAACACTCAGGCTCAGGCTCCCATGCACGCCACGCACATAAAAACGTGGCGGAGAGAGAAAACTGGGCACTGAGATATCAATATAAAGATAGTGTTCAGGCTTTCAGCCAGAAATTCATGTAAAATAAATATTCAATTATTTTTGTGCATCTTGACCATGTTTTCTGTGGACGATTTATATCTATTTGAACTAGTAGTCTGTAGTACTAGTACTAGTACTAGTAGTGTAGTACTAGTACTAGTAGTAGTCTGATATACTAGTACTAGTAGTGTAGTACTAGTACTAGTAGTAGTCTGATATAAATGAACAATGAGGGATTTGGGTCCATTTTCATCTTTTTGCATTTTTACAGCTGGATGTTCAGACACCTTGGCCTGCTGACCGAGCTGACAGTCTCCTGCGTGCATCGTGCCCTGGTGCCTCCACTCGTCACCCTTGGAGTCAGCCATCGGTGTCCAGTGTTTCGGCTGATGGCGTCTGAGGTCACCCAGGTGGCGGGGCCTGCCGTCCTCACAGCTGTGGAGGTTGGGGAGAGTGCCGGCGGGAGTCAGAGTGAAGTGCAGCAGTCTGGGGCAGCTGTGTGTGAGCAGAGAGGTGCGGAGACAGGTGGTGTTACATTGCCGCCCGCTGGCTCTGCCTCAAGTGCCGGTGCGCGGGACGGTGGGACCAGCAGTGTTCTGGTCAAACACGGGATGCAGCAGGAGGTCGGCAACTGCGAGACGCCTGCAGAACCGGCCGACTCCGAGACGCCTGCGGGACCGGCCGGCGCGGGTACTGCCAGTGAACAACCCACTGAGGAGACAGTCTCAACGACTCCAAAGTCCACGGACCAGGTGAGCCCCGGACTGGCGATCAAACCCATTCTAAGAAATACAAGCTCGATTGTGGTGCCAGTAAAAGTGTTCCCGGTAAAAGGACGTGTGTTGTGTCGTTGACGCTTGGCAGGTTCAGGTCTTCTTTGAGCATCGACCGCTTCGCCGTCGCGAAGATTTTAGATGCGTTTTATTGCGGGACATCACATTGAGATCAATTATTTGTGTGGTTGTTTGCAGCGGAATAGCCAGTCCCGCCATCATTTAGCACTCTCCGATTCTCTACTCAGCTTGCGTTACATACTCTATTGAGGACGTAGCTTGCCTACCGAATCTTCCCAATCGGTATTGTAATCAGGGTTACCAACGGGAATTTTTCTAAATCCCAAGATCGCCGCGCGAATTTCCCAAAATCGAGCTCCATATCCCAAGGTCGACAGGATCAAAGCCCAATGTGCATCCCAAGGTCTATAGAAACCAAATATAGAGCAAATAAAGTGTATTTGACGTATTTCCAAATCTTTGGTTGACTAAATAAATCAATATCGTTAAAGGAAAAGAGCCACCTTTAACATGGGGATTGAAACTGAGATAGCCATCTTGTAGCCCGTGTCCGAAAACCTATCTGTCTACCTACTTACGGCCGATTTCGGCCTCCATTCGTAGTTATCGGCAATTTTAAAAGAAAATACGCCAGGAATGCGTCCTTATCCCAGGAATGCGTTCTTATCCGACAATACAGCCACCCGCGGCGAGGCTTTGGTTTTTTACCAATCAGCTCCAACCAGCTCAGCTTTAACCAATCAGCTTATCTGACACAATCCGACGAGTCTGTCTTCTGAACGCTGATTGGCTTGAGTGTGACGTCATCGCTATGCCATCATACAGTAGGTGCCGTAGAGAGTATCAACATAGTACCAATATGTTAAATAGTTTTAAATACTTTTTCGCGAATTGTACACTTCTGGCACCAGTTTTAAAAAGAAAATGAAAAATAATAATGTAAAAATGAAAAACAACGATATCTTCATATTTCACGAAGGTGGCCCTTTTCCTTTAACATAACTTGCATTCGGCACAGTTACACACGCAGGCATAGGTACAGAGACACAGCAAGTTACCTGTCTGGGTTTTACGTTTATTTCCCGTTTCACGCCGGTTTCAGTCTGGCGGCAAAACCATCCAAAATGTGCGCTCTTGACTAGCATCGATAACCCGAACAAATATTGGGACAGCTCACACAGCTTTAGACAGCTTTAGAACACTGGCGGTCCCAGGGGGGGGGGGCCACGGGGGCCATGGCCCCCCCTTTGGTGCTGAAAGGTGGGGCCATACTATCTTTTGGCCCCACCTTTCAGATCGAACAAAAGTCCTAGAAAAGCTTTTCGTATGTTTCATTTTCTTTCTTGCGCCATCAAAGGACGTAAATTTCACTCATGAGTGGGCTCAGTTTCGCATTCTGTCAATTTGGCGGTCAGCGTCGCTGGCACCGGTTCACGAGTATGGCCGGATCTTATATGGAATATCAGCGTGGGCTTACTTGAGGCTCTCGTAGGCCCAGCAATGGCTGGCATGAGACCCTCTTCGGCAGTGGTGGGTGGGCCCTGCTAAAGGAGATTGGCTCTTAAAGGGACTATCCCACCTTCTAAAATGTTGTTAAAACCAGTTAAATTGTGCCCGACTTTATAGATTGGATGACCAGGAACACGGTTCTGGCATTTATTTTTCATTAAACATCTTAGGCTTCTCATATTCCAAACACAAACTTTCAAATATGTGACGTCACAGCCCAAAATTACCTCCTTCCCCAGGCCACATTACTGTCATAAAGCTGATTCTTTTTACTCTGTAGGCACCACAACAAAGTTCAGACCAAGTTTTAAGCGATTTTTCAACGAACAAACCCATTTAAATCAGAATGACTAAACGAGGTGACGTCACACTAACGGTCGCTCCATGTTGAAGATAGGGCCTTGTACAAGGCCCATTTTCAAATGAAGGGAACGAATTTCTTCAACACCAAGAGGCCGCGGGGGTTGCAACCTAGATAGATAGTGGTTTCTGAACCTCGCCGCAAACTTGGCTATCTCAACTCAAACCCCATGTTAAAGGTGGGATAGTCCCTTTAACCCTCGCCCATGTAGGGGGGGGGGTTGGTGCAACCCCCCCCCCTGAGGTTTTTCGGAAATAGTGCAAAAACGGCGGCGCGCAGCGCCGCCAAATTTTGGGTACCTTATGGGGCAAACCTTGCGCATCTTTTGATAAAAAAATTTGACCGGGTCATGTCAGGTCACGGAGTTATGACGTCACAAAGGGAACAGCCTCCGGCCGGATTTTCACAAACTGAGTGCCAACGCCCGAGGTTTCCTGCCGGTGGTACGGACATCGGTTGATGGATCGTGATGAAACTTCCCATGCATGTTGGGGCAAGTATTGGCTATCATATGGTATAAGAAACTTGACCGGGTCAGGTCAGGTCACGGAGCTATGACGTCACAAGAGGAACAGCGTCCGGTACTATTTTTGAAAAGCGCCCGAACCACTATTTTGCTAATTCTTGTCACCTCAATGGGAATATGCAGCAATATTAGCTTCTATAGGGAGCGAATGGACATCCCAAATCCAAAAATACAATCAGATTTCAAAAATTTAAATTTTGATTTTTCGAATTTCTGCCGCCGACTGTGACCTTGCCGACTTCCGGCGCTCCCAACGCGCCATTTTTAGAGCTAGGGAAACGAAATACATACCAAACGATAGAGAATTGATCGAGGAACACGATAGTGAAGGTTTCAAGTCGATATCTCCCACCGTTTTGCCGCAATCGCCGCGGAAAAGTTGAAAAAGTCTATTTTTCCGAAAATTTGACCTTTGACCGGTCAAAAGTAGGTCAAATGTTGACCTAGGACCAAAAAATATACCACCAATCGCGAGATCTCGGCGAGAGCAATCCGTTGGTCTTTTCCGCTAAGCTCTACGACGCTCCGTTTTCAAACGCCAAGGGGGGGTCGCACCAACCCCCCCCCCCTGCATGGGCGAAGGTGGCAGATCGCCGTTTACGGGCGAGGGTTAAAGTAAGACCTCATGGGTTGGTGCTGTGCACCTCAGAAGCCTGGTGGTGACGCCGTATGCCGGCTTGGTTTCTTAATTAAGGATTAGCGTGGGAACTCCGGGGCCTGCATAGAGTTTGCATGAGCTAGTATGTAATCTCAGAGGCATGTGTGTAATGTGTACACAGTGGCGGTCGCGGGGGGGGGGGGGGCATCAGGGCCATGCCCCCCAAAGGTCAATAAAGGGGCCTTCATATCATTTGCCCCCCCTCAAACAACCAATGGGCCCCCATATAGGTGTATGGGGCCCTGGCAACTATTCGATCGTCACGAGGCTCAAAAAACCCACGCCCAGCTATTAATATAGCTCCCACACCGGTCTTTGAGCGTCCTACACTGACCTCTGAGGGAACTTCAGTGGCGGTCAAGCGCCCACGTTGACCGCTAAGAGCCTACATCAACCTCTGAGACCCCACATCTGGCCTATGAGGGCCCCTAACCGGCATCAGGGGTCCCAACCGGCGTCTGAGGGTCTCACACCGGTCTCTGGTGGCCTTATTTCTGTCTGTGGTGTCCCAAGACGAACCTTTAGGTGCTAATGAGGGCCCCGCACTGGCTGCTGAAGACCCGATGCCGGTCTCTTGGCTCTAAGGGCCTGCATTGGCATCTGAGGAGGGCCCATCTTGGCCTTTGAGGGCCCTCTGCTGGCCTCTGGGGTCCAACGACGGCTCATGCCGGTCTTTTAGGGCCCCACGCTGACCTCTGAGGGCCCATGTTGGCCTGTAATGACCCACATTAGCCTCTGAGAGTCCAACTTGGTCACTGATTGTCTCAAACTACTGGCCTTTGTAGTTTGCAGGCCCTGTACTGGTCTCTGAGGGCCCTAAACTGGCCTCTACGTGAAAACATACATGGGTGGGTTTCTGAAGATCAGAGGGCTCACGCAGTCTCCGGCACAGCCTTACGTTGGTCCTGATCGAGATTACGTCCTGATGGTCCCGCGCAGATTCCCTCATATTTCGACGTCGGGACCCCATGAGCCGGTGTGGGTCCTGGGGTGACAGAGACTGATGAAGTCCTTAGGGCTCAGGACCAGTCTTTTTAGCAGTAAGACTAGGCAGGTTGAGTGAGCCCCAATAGAGCCGTTGCGAAGCCCCGCAGGAGTCGCGCGCGGCCCTCAGATGCCAATTTTGAAAGCTCGGAACCTGTGGGGGGGGGTCTCCAGAGGTCGGTGTACCTACTCTCTCCCGCCGCCACACAACTAGGTATGTTACCTATATGGGTAAATATGTCATAGTCTGAAAATGCTCTCTGGGTTTCACATGCTTGTTGAAAGCAAGAGGTATCTGTACTTTTCCGAATTGTTTTATGGTGGTAAGGTCATGAATCCGCGTGCCTGACCCTCCAGTATACCTATGCTACACCGATCCGTCGCCATGGTGCAGTGGGCCGACCGGTGGAAGCACCGTGGGACGGGAAATGGAACTGGTGATTTTGCCTTAAATTGAGCTTAAAGATTTCACGCAAGAATCAGATGGATGAAGCATAAGTAATGCCAACTGCGCGGCGCCTCGTGGACGTAAAAAATTAGCCGATCACCCCCCCCCCCCCCTCCCGGTGACGGATAAATGTTATGTCCCGCGAGTGTGACTTTGGCCCCCCCTTTTGCTAGCGGCTGCGACCGCCAGTGCTTTAGAAGGTGGGATAGTTCCTTTAATCGACGCGGAAGCCACTGGGTATTTCGCTAACTGCCTCACTTGAGAGCTGAGACGAGAGAAACAAAGTGAAGACGCGTCAAATAAGGATAACTTATTCGTGCTTCGTTGGTTGCTTGGTAAGGTACAGTGAAACCAAACGAAAGAACGCTCGGTTGTGTTCGTCCAAAAAGGACGGTTTACAAAAAAAAAAACAATTAAGTTGTGTTAGATGTGTTCCTGATTCCTTTGTTTGGTCTTTATTAATACTTTTCCT